GCCTGTTTGCAATTATTTTTATTTCCTTAAAATACAAAAAGCAAATCTGGTAGAAATAACATGCAAAAAAGGTAGTGAGTAAAAGATGTGAGTATCTAGCAAAAAGGAGGGCCGCTGAATGTCTCCACTTTGGGGAAATCTGAGTTAATCAGAACCCCACTGTGGTACCGAGTCCTGGGAAGGGGACTGGCTATGGACCAGGCAGCCCTGATCCTACCCCAGTCCTAGGCCTGGGTAGTGCCGTGGTCACTGCTTTGCCTGTAAAACTTTGCCATTTTTGCCGCCCCACGTGGCCTGAGGTGACCTAATCTAGCTGGCCAGTTTTCCTTGTCTCAGGGGTGAGGGCCTCCCATTTTGCCTCTGTGGCAGGACAAGGAGAACCGCGTCCACAGGTGATCAAAGCTGTGGCTCAGAAGCGGCGCTATCTGTGGCAGTCACGGGCAGGTGGCCCCACAGGCCTAGGTCTGGGCAACACAGTGAGTATGGGAGATGCTACAGGCCAAGCCTTAGGAGCTGGTGGCCCCAAGCGCCCGTTTCTGCAGACACCAAGCTCTGCCTCTCTCTCTGCCCCGATACAAGAGCAGGAACCTGAAGCACCGCCCCCAACAGCCACAGCGTCAGTTTTGGTGTTTTCTGGTGCAAACAGTGTATTGTTCTCTGCAGTCAACCCTTCTGTCAGGAAAGTATAGCTCATCTCCAAGCTGAAAACGTGCCACAGCTCGGTAAAGCTGGTCTCTTGGAAAACGGGCTGGAGGAAGGGTCCTCCACTGTCCATCCACCCCTGGCTCTGCCCCCTCCCCACAGCCACACAGCCACCGAAGGCTGCAGGTTCCCATCTTGACCTTCATGGACTTGCTTCATCTCACCTCTGCACGACACAAACACAACTCACACACACAGCCAAATAACACACACACCCACCGTCCGGGTCTTCCAGGTGCCTAGGTACACGAGCCAACCCCCACGGCCTCTTCAGCTCACCTTTTCAGTTTCTCCCGGATCTCAGGGTTTTTTATCTCATTTTTCAGGTCCTCGAACGTGTGGGCCGCCGACAAGTTGCAGTAGACCCTGTAGTCGTGGTAGGGCGGGATCCCGTGGTCCCGGCCGCGCTGGATGTTGATGGCCGCCAGGTCCAGAGCCACCGTGTGTGCCATGGAGAACAGCCGCTCCGTGAGCTCCGTGTTCAGCAGCTGCGAGGGCACACGCATCTTCCCCGCCACCCCGAACAGCCCCCTGAGAAGCGGGTCGATACCACCCTCATTCACAATCCGGAAGGGAGAGAAGAAAGCTTTGTGGAGGGGGAGGTGACCCTGTGCAAGCGGCTGGAAGTTCTCGTCCAGCCGGTAAAGCAGTGGGTTGACCAGCGTGTGGCCAAACCTGAAGGCAGCGGTGGCGAAGGCGTTGAAGATGCCGGCATTGATGCCGGGGTCGTAGCCCTGGTACTCTCCCAGCGTCCTCATGCCCACCTCCCCCAGGATCTTCGGGAGCCAATGCTGGTAGGTGATGTGCTGGATCTCCGCGCCCACGATCTTCCTGGTCTCGTAGTAGATGGTGTCGCCGTCCCAGTGCGGGTTCAGCTTGAGCAGCTCCGCGGCGACGCGGTTGTGCTCGCGGAACCACAGCGTGTGCATGCTGGTCAGGCCCAGCTGCTCGTTGGCGCGGTGGTCCCCGGCCAGGAAGCAGGGGATGGGGCTCTCGTTCTCGTCCCGCATGCACTCGGTGGGCGGCCCGGCGGCGAAGGGGAGCAGCGGCTTCCCGGACCGCTGCACGATGCCCTGCCGCAGCAGGCCGCGGTGGCTGGCCAGGTCGCGGATGCTGCGGGCCTCGTGCTCCGTGCTGCCGTACACGTTGGAGGCGTCGATGTAGGAGGTGAGCTGGTTGATCTGCTCCCGCGGGTACACGGAGTTCATGAGCAGCGAGGTCATGCCGCTGCCGCACACAGGGCTGGAGCGCACGAAGAACATGCAGCGGGCCCCGCTCCTGGCGCGGGAGTCATTGGGGGGGATCATGACAGAGAAGCAGGGGGGGTCGTTGCTGCACACGGAGCTGCAGTGCTGTCCGTCGGAGAAGCGCGCCTGGCTCAGGGCCACCACCGTGGAGTCTAGGTCGTGGTCCAGGAACTGGCCCCACTGCATCAGCATGTGGGTGAACTGCTCGTCGGGTGTGACGGTCTCCGTCCCGATCAGGGTGGTGGATACCAGGCGCGGCATGGGAAGCGCGTGCCCGTTGTACAGTCGGTGGGGGTTGATGCCCCGAGGGGTGTTGAAGCCGTTCTCGTACACGGACTTCAGCAGGCGCTCGAAGGCGGTCAGCGAGGCGCCCCACATGGGGTGCTGCAGGTTGTTGCAGGTGCCGTCGTGCGTCCGGTACTTCTGGTGGAAGCACATGTCGGAGCAGTTGTTCACGCGCCGGTGGGCGGTGCAGCCCGACAAGTTTGCGATGAGGTTCAGGTACTGCGGAGACACCAGGTCGTTGTAGTGGTAACCTGGGCATGGAGAAAAGCAAGATGGCACTCAATTCCCCTGGAGGACGTGACAGCCTGGTACCCCTTGGCACCTCTGCCGCTGACATGGGGCTATCTACCCCCAGCTCATGAAACCTGTTGGGCGCCATGCAACCAGCCCTTCCTGCTGGAAACCTGCTCAGCTCCCAAACTGCTCCTCCCCTCCTCCAGCCCTAAACACAGGTGTTCTCTCCACAGCCCCAGTTTCTGGGCCCCGTCTCCCCTCCACACTCAGCAGTCTCATGGTTTCAACCAGCAGCTCTTCTCTGGGAGACCCGTAACTGATGGAGCCCCACCCACGTTCACCAGTCCAGGCTGACGCCGCTCCAACTTCACTTTAAATGCCCCGCGGAAGAGACAGTCACCACACCTCCACACGAGTGCACACCATCGGTCTCCACATGCCGCCGAGCAGGGCATTTCCTGACACACCTGTCGCTGTACATCTCGGTCCACTGAGGCTTCATGCTCTCCTCCCGCAATGTCCAAAAGATCGCCACTTCCTTTCACACTGCCTCCAAAATGTTCCTAGCCCCCGTGCCCTCCTCTCCATTCCTCTGGCAGAATCCTGGGACTGATTTCCATGGCACTGGCCTTCAATTCCAGAAGGGCCTCCTGCCTGGTGGAAGCCATGCACACACACACCCTCCCCACAGCAAGCGCGCCCTCCCATGAACCTCGCACAGACTGGCTAGGTCACCTCGCTCAGAGACCTTCCATCTTCGCCCACTAGCTACAGAAGAAATTCCAAACATGGTAGCCTGGGCCATCACTCCACAGAGCTCTTCCTAAGTTCAGCTCCTAGTCTTCGCCTTCAAGACACCTGCTCCAAGCAACAGCGACTCCACATCCTGGGGTCAGACACATCAGATCTGTGTTCGCCAAAGTGCTTCCCCCTCATATTCATACATCCTAGGCCTTCACCTTTCTCAACACTCCTCCTTTCCAGGCACATGCCATGCCTGCTGAAAAGCTACACATGCACACACACATGCACACTTAAATGTTTACCACTCAACACATGCACACACATGCAAACATGCTTACAGATCACACTCACACTTTCGTGTGTGCTGACACTCACAGAGTTCCAAGCCATCAATGCCTCTTTTTTCTAAAGTTTCTCCAGCCCGTTTCTGCTTGTCAAGATCACAGGTATCACTATGGACACCTTTAAAGCAAACAACAGACAGCCCCTTTTCTGTGGGGGAGCGGTGTGCATAACTTCCACATAAGAATGCAAAGAATTGGAAGTGAGGCATTTTCCAGGCTGGGGAGAGTAAGTCAGAAACACACACCCCGGTGTGTCGGGTGGGAAAGGTCTGTGCAGGGAACATGAACCCCAGGCTCCCCTCAGCCCCTGGTTCTGTTCTGTCTGACTTTTCCCAGAGGCTGAAACAGTGAGCTGAAACATCTGGCCCTATTTTCA